TTTTGGCAGATTAATTTCATATTTTGCCTCCTTTTTTATTTCTACAGAGGAGCTTGGGGGTCACTGTCCTTTTTTCACTGTCTTTTCACTTGGTGGCCCAAGTGGTGTTTGATGGTGCCAGTGGGTTTGTTGCACTGTCATCCCCACCGATTGACATCTAGCCACAGTGATTTAGACCTTTATGGAGAATGGCAGAGCAGGAAAGGCTAGAAACTCCACACGCAAGCCTGGTCTGATACGCTTGAAGTCTTTGACTGCTATTTGATCAACTGAGATGAAGCAGAGCAACTGGCTTTAAACCAGGTCACCTTTAAACCAGGTCACCTTMCAAAAGTGTAGGCAAAGAATTAAAAATATAGATGGAGATGTGGCTCATACTTTTTTATGAAAATGTTATTTATTAAATAATTTGCAAATGTAATACTGAAGATGCATGTTGGAGATGTAAGAATAGATATAAGGATTAAAACATCTGTTGGTGCTGTCATTGCTGCTATAGAGCTCTGTCTTAGCATCCATCCTAGAAACCTTTCCATTGCAAATTTGTTTTCTAAGAAGACACTTTAATCTTTACCCTTTAATGAATTTCCTGATTTTAATTGATACCAGCTCCTCGGTCAAGTTATGTCAAAGAAAACTGTATGTTAATAGCTGTGCAACTCCTTTTCACATTACTCTTATTTCCTTGCAAGCCTGAAACTTGGGGATTGTGTTAAGGCACATTCTCCTGGAGATGTGTCCTGACTGGTACTAGCCTCGGGCCAATTCCTCCTCAGGAGTTTGCCAGGACTAGGATATAGATTTCCCTGCATGCATTTCAGAAGCATTTAGTATTTGGAACAATATTGTGCCGTAAATCTAGACCTGGCCTGCTGCAGGACTGGCTGGGATCAGAGTTGTCCTGCTTTTTAGTTTTTCTCTTTTGGAAAAAGTCCTTTACGCTGACTGTTCAGAAGCTTGCTGGCAAATTGGCTTTATTGAAAATCCAGGCCAAATTTTTACACTGGATATTTCTGGCATGTCAATCAAATCTTAAGGTATCAGGACAAATTTCATTGTAAAACTTCCTGCTATAGAAGAGGAACTGTTTAGGCAACTCCATTTACCATTTCTCTGCTTTTCCAGAGAATAGTGACTTCTGTTTAATCAGCTTTCCTTTTTCTCTATGACAGCTCTAGCATTCCTGGCATGAAAATATATAYTTATAAAGCATTATGTCTCATGTTCAGCTTGATTCACACCTTATCTTCTGGAACTTGAAGTTGGGTGCCCATCAGACTTACACTATACTAGAAATGTACAATCTGGGAAAATTTGAGAGCTCTCCTGCCTTGCCTGGGAGTTACAAGACATAGCCATGTCTACTCTGTTTAAACTATAAAGAAAGGAAACATCCAGAAAGGGAAGCGGTGTTGCATTGCTTTACACTGCTTTCTCGTACAGCAGAGAAAAATCTTGAATGAAAACAGTTCTGACAGCCTGGAAGCTCATATTGGTGTTATTAATGGGCTCTTTGGTAATGGAAGCAGAGCTGAAAGTGCACCAGATGCACCACAGACAGAGAGGAGGATGCAGGTCTTGCTTTGCAGAGGCGCAGACCAGAGGTGACTGGCTATGGAGCAGCAACAAAATCACTGCAGCCCTCTTCCTCCAAAGGCTTTTGGAAGATGTGGAAGATCAGGGGAGATGGCCCTCTGATCTTACTTGTGGGCATGGGTTCATATAGAAGTTCCTGCAGCTAAACACAAAATAAATGGGGGGAAAAAAAAGCTGAATTTGTAATTGTGGAAAGCTTAAAGAAAGCTAGAGGGTCTATAGTCTAATCGATGCTGGGAGAAGAATGCTGCTGTAACAAAAATCAGGTAGCATCCTTCCAGTGTGTACGTTTAAATGCAAGGGTTTACTTTTAACTGTCGGTTTCTGCAGTTTAAATAGAAGAAAATGTCACTGCTTTGTAGTCACTGCAAACTGCGTGAGAAGAAATGGTAAACTTTAGTCATCAGAACAAGTAAAGGCAGGTTTCTCTCTACACTATTTATTGGTGCCTCCTTTTTTCTTGGTGAGCATCCTGGAGGAGAGCATTTGCTCTGTGGCCTAGGACAAGGTCAAAACGGGGAATGTGGTGCTGTTCCTAGTGTGCCCATATCTTCATCCCCTAACCAAACTCCTGAGTTACCTCTTCCAAGCCCACTTTTGAACCATTCCTGAGTTGTTTCATCTGGGGTAGGATGGTTATTAGCATGAAGGAGGCTSCTTGTTCCAATCTAGATGCAGATTAACATCTTGGTGCCATCTGATCCACTTTATTTATTTTAACACTTTTGTAATCAWAGGCAGTTGTGTCATTCTGCCTTATCCTACTGTTGGTCTAAATGCCACAGGGACACTTTGAAAGTATTCAGCATCTCCTATAGCAAGTTCGGTGCTGTTGCTGACTGACAACTTCACTCCTACCATCAAAGAACCTTTGATAGACCACGACAATAGACTGTCTTGATATATTGTTTTTCTTTCCTTTTTAAAAGATGGTCAGAATGCATCTGAGCACATGAAAAACTTTAATGTGTTTACAGTTTAGGAAATGCTATTACCTTCATGTTATAATTTGGAAATGGAAGTACAGAGGGAAAAAGTCYCATCTGTTACCACAGTCTCAGGATTAGCCTTCCTCGCATATTATAAGATTTTGTAGTCTGTGTGTCAAAGACATCCACGTTATGCTGCAGGTTTGTGGCAGTTGTCCAAGCAATTGCCTAATGGCTTGTTTCCCCTTCTAGAATTGTTTCTTTCAGGCAGTGGAGAAGAAAACGGGACTGCAGAAGGACAAGGATTTGGGAAGATGGAATCATTGACCTGACAAGGCATGAGGCACGGGAAAGGAAGGCAGAATGTKGTCTTCCTGAAGATCAATAGAGATTTGGGTGTTGAAAGAGGTAGCTTCCAGAGCCCGACCTGAAGACATTGTGGTAGAGGAGGTCAGTGGTTCTGGCATGGGGGTTGATGCCAGGTGTCAGTGGATATGTGACCTAAATGATTTGCTTGCCCAGGGTCATGCGACAGTTTTTCTCAAGTGTATAGCACCATTCTGGTAATATTTGTGTGTGTATATTTGTGTGTGTATATTTGTGTGTGTATATTTGTGTGTGTATATTTGTGTGTGTATAT